GCCAGTAGTGCAATAGTTATAGAGACTGTCTATAGGCTGGACGACCGAGGGGTCGTAGTTCGATAGGGTAAAGAATTCCTATCCTTTTTACGTCGTCGGGACCGGCTCTGCGTCCCACGCAGCCTCCTGTCCAATGGGTTCGAGGGACTTTTTTTTTTAATTAAATTCGCTTAGTTGGCGGGGATGGAGTCCAACTGGTTCCATTCGGCACGGTGGCCGGTGATTGGCTTATTGTACCTGTCCCGGGTGAATATGATGACGGAGAATTTGGTGGAATGAAGATTGGCAGGAGAAACCGAAGTACTCTGAGAAAACCTGCCCCAGCGCCACTTCGTCCACCACAAATCTTACTTGACCAGACCCGGGATCGAACCCGGGCCGCCGCGGTGGGAAGTCAGCGACTAACCGCTTGAGGTATGGAGCGGCTACCAGGGACTTTCCCTGGTGTGAAGCTGACCACTCACCTCCGTCTAATGCCGAGGTCAAGAATAGGTGGATCTATAGGTCTGCGCTTCCATACGACTACATAGCGTAGGGGACAGGTTTACCATTTTTACCTTCATGTCTGCAAGTTAGTTTGGAGCGGAAACTGAACGTAGGCTAAAGAGTATCACGCCGTGTAGTCTGGTAAACGGTCAGCTCCGTTTCATGGTAATGTACTGCCTCCATCTTCAAGATAAAAGAGTGGACGAAGCAGCAGAGCCTCGTTCCTCCTAAACGCTGGTAAATTTATACTACACACTGCATGGCGTTATGCCCCGCAAAGGTAAAAAAAGGCAAAGTTATCCCTGTAACAGGCCGTGGAGGGCCCATGGGGTTATGAGGCGTCGAGGCTCCCACATTTTCTAGACAGTCGGTACATTGATTGCGGCGAGGTTTTCAGCCTTACGCTCCGGCCGCCGTCACCCAGGAATCTTCCTGGTACTCATTTCTGTTAGAGGCTGAGTGGCCGCCACGGCCATAGTGCGGCTGGAAGGGTTAGATCAACTGAAAAATCTAATAACCTCATCGGGATTCGGACCCGCAACCTTCCGGCTTGTAGCATAGTGCCTCAACCACCTGTGGTATCGCGTGCCCCAGCGTCATGTCTCGCAAGATGACTCTTCATATTCTGAGAACCTCAGAGAAAACAAAAAATCATACCGGAAGTCGCTACCAGTTTGTGTGAAACGTAATTTTACTGGGAGTGCCGAGATGTAACGTTGGCATTGTTGCCCGCTGCCTTATGTCTGCGGTGTGTATTCAGACCTTCAGAATCCCATGCTTGCTGGGGTACTGTGCGACGGATGACGATGTTTGTACTGGGGGGGGGGGCATCGTAACGTCATCACAGACGAACCGTAACGAAGTGATAAAAAAGGAATACTAAGAAAACCTCGAGGAACGGCAAATTTTGTGCATGGCATGAGCAGTTCATGGCATCGTATTGACATTGAAAAGAAAATTTGTTAAAGAAACAAAAAGAAGCAGCCCCATATCCAGGAGAACTCCGTTTCGGTCGCCATCTTGGAATTGACAAGCAGCTTGCGCACAAGTTCGTAAATTTTCTGAGTAGTTGTCAGCTTTTACCAAGTGTTGTCTATGCAAGCTGTGAATTATTATTCCCGTTGTATATAGTTTCAGCATCAGAACTGTACATCTACTCATTATATCGTGCCACTAATCTTGCGTTAAACTCTTGTCACTACAGACTTAACTAGCAAATGTTAATACGTGAACTGTACTTATACACTTATACACTCACTCATGGAGCTGAAACCTTCTTGAGGAGCCGCCAATTCTGCAGCTACTCATGAACTTCCCAGCATTTTATGGAACCCAAAGGTTCATTGCCGTTTTCACAAGAGCCCTCCATTGTTCCCTATCCTGGGCCAGATCAGTCCATCATATCTAAAATCAGTTTTAATATTACCCACCCTCCTACATCTAGCCCTTCTTAATGATCCTCCTCCTGGCAAACTCCTGTGTGCATTCCTCGTATCCCCCACTTTCCAGATATTACAGATATAATTTATTTTGTGCTTAATGAAGACTTGGTTTTCGTCCCATTTTTCTTGGCTGCGTGCCACATATGTAGTAGAACACTGGCAACATATGTGGTTAACTTGAGTGAATCATCTCATTTAGAGAAATTATTTATGTGCTGTGAATAGTATGAAATAAATGTGACCAGGCTCGGTGTGCTTGTGTAGAGATGATCAGAGAGGAAGAATTCATTGGACCTTGGTCATGAAATTGAACAGACTTGTAATTCACTGAAGCCCAGTTCCTGAGTTTAATTTCCAGATTTGTTGTGGCAGTTGTAGGAACTCTGGCTATGAGCTACGGGTGGCACTTAATTATTTCCACTAGTCTTCACTGTCCTTGTTTACAGCCAGGAACTGGTCATTGCCCTGGCATAGTGCCTTCGGCACCTAGAAGCAGTCACACTTGATATTGCGATAGAGTGAAAGCCAAAGTCTTCACTGGTTTATCAAGATCTATGCATTTGTCTTCATTTGTGTTCTGAAATTTTGACCATTATCCAGTTTCAGTCAGTATTGTTAATTGTGTCAGGTCGCAGTAGCCGTGCGGTCTAAAGCACTGGCTTCATTTGCTCAGACACTGGGATTGTGGGTTCAAGTCCACTGAAGGCATGAATGTCTGTGTTTGTGTTGATCTGTGTACAGGTAGCGGCCTTGCAACGAGCTGATCACCCATCCAAGGAGCCCTACCGTCTGAAAAATTATCACGGAACTGAATAAGAGGTCAGGGCCCTGTATGGGCTGGAAGGGCCATTGAGAAAAAATTAACTGAGTACACCTTACTTTAGACATGAGTTTTAAACATGCCTTCTTCGTTTCTGTGTACAGTAGGAATACTGCAGCTGTTTTTTGTGTCCAGAATGATCATACATCTTACCCTGAGATACTAATGTGTCCTTTCGTGTTACTGCTTCATAACAAAGCTGTATGTCATCACTTGAAGTCGTCCAATTTAAGCTAGTGATTAAATTGGAATATTAAGAAGACTTGGTGTAGCGGAGTATAAACAACTGACACTCATATCCCTGCGGCACGGAATAGTGGTGCCATAGTGTCAGTTGTTACGTGAAGCCAATATAAATATATATATTATGAGCAAAGGATGCCGCTTATCGTTTGAAATATTACACTTCGCAGCTGCAGTCCAGCGAGGTCTCAGGAATCGTTGGGAATATCGCTGGACCAGCGGCTTCGAAGATATAATTTGTAAGAGGGTATTGGAGGATTCAAAGTTGTAACACCCGCCTTCCGTTTGAATGATCGAATCAGAAGCGATGATGGAATATATCTGCGAGGGTGGGAGAATTAATGTCCCCAAACTCAAGGATATAGTCCGAGCTTCATGGGGGACTTCTAGTTTGGTGATTCCGACGGATAGACGTGTTCTGCAAATAATATATTAAACCAGTAAGCAATTGTAATGTGCGCAGTCGTAATATCATTACCCTTTGTCTCATAATCCAAGACCCGTAAACGATCCTGAGGAAGACTTTCATTGCCACCGGAACCCAAACAACATCAGAAACTAAAGGGGGTAAGAGCGGTTGCACACTCTTACATTAGTATGTATTTGAATTCTAAATTGTTCTGATCTCAGAACTTAGGCGACAGATGTGTTTTGAAATGAGATCGTCCCTGGAATATGATGTGACATACTGTGGTAGTTATTTCTTAGTACCTGTAACTTACACATCAGTCATGTTGATGGAGGTTGAGCGTTTCTCCAAAACATTAATAATATCCGTCTTCATAGGCTCTGCTGTGAGAACCTGAAATCCCAGATATGTTTCCCAGAAAAGGAAGTCCTTATGTTGTAAGACTTGGCAGTTTTATTAACTCCTGTGAAGGTTGGTAAGGTGAACATAGACATGTTTTGCATTGCCTTCTGGTGGCCTTGCTCAAACGAAAGTAGTATTCGTATTTGTGGGGATGATAAGCGTTAGACACACTCAAAGCAAGTTGAAGTATGGAGACTGGTGAATATTTTGTAATTTAATTGAAATTGTCTTCAGAAATAAAACCCATAAGTTCAGAAGCTGCTGAATTACCATTGAATCTACTGTGAACCACTTCATTCACGGCAAGGAAAGGGGTTAAGGTTGTCCCATAATTAATTAAACACCACGCCATGAATACAGGTGGAGGTATAGCTCCACCATTCTTGACCACAGCACTAACTGGAGGCAAATGGTCAGCATCACTCTATCTCTGCTTTACCCCTGGTACACATTGAGTAGGAGGCTGGGTGAACTATTAGCTGGTCTGAATGCTGTGGAGAATAGGAAAATCTGCCTCTGCCAGGAATTAAATCCCGACCATCCAACCCATAGCCTGCCATTATACTGTCTTAGATACCATGCCTTTTTAAAAAAAAATTAAAATTCGATTAGTGGGGGGTGGAGTTCAACTGAGTCCACTTGGTACAGCGGCCACTGATTGGCTTATTGTAACTGCCCCGGGTGATTATGATGATGGAGAATTTGGGGGAATGAAGATTGGCAGGGGAAACGCGCCCCAGCATCACTTTTGTCCACCACAAATCCCACTTGATCGAACGCGGGCCGCCGCGGTTGGAAGCCAGCGACTAATCGCTTGAGCTGTGGCACGGCCTACCATGCCTTTATATATATATTGTTTCTTATGTTGTTAAGAATGGTTCATGATATACAGAAAATAAAATGCTATGAAGTGTAACAGTTGTTCAGTAAATAAGTAATGTCATGTATAAAACTAAGTGCGTTGTGATATTCTAGTTTGAATGCAGCATCTGCTAGTTTTTGAAACCATATAATTATTTAAATTGGTTGTTAGAATGTAAACTGGATCAAAATGGCTGATGGTTGTGTGTATTGACAGGTTTTGTAATTTGTAGTCCTGTTATCTGTGAGTGAGTTAAGAAATAAAATGCTAATTTTTGCAATAAGATTATCTGTGATTCCAAACAATGTGTTCACGCTGTTGCTTTGTCTGTTGCAGCAATTGTTTCGGAACCAGCAACAACAGCAACCGACACCACAGCAGATACAACTATTGCAACAGCAGCAACAGTACCTCGCCACCCAGTCTCAACAGCAGCTGGGTAAGTTAACCGCCTTTACGAGCCGCAAGCTGCATATAGCATATGTACAGATTGCCTAGATGTCCATCTTTCTGTTCTTAACTGCCAGGGTCTCAAAATGGTAACCATGCTGTAACTTCTTTTGTCTCTTGCTGATGAACAAAAGAGAGCGTGAGTGCAATACTGTGATTTTTTTTTCCATGCATCCTGTTGTGTTACAATATACAACCTCTTTATTATATCTGTCCCAGCACAACTAATATCAAGATCAGACCATTTTCGGCCCTGCTACATGTTTCGGCTATTGATAGCCAGTGTTTGCCTGATGATGGCTATTGGTAGCCGAAACATGTAGCAGGGCAGAAAATGGTCTGATCTTGATATTAGTTGTGTTGTGACAGATATAATAAAGAGGTTGTATACTCTGAATTATGTTTGTGGTGAGACACAAGGTTTGATTTGTTGAAGGCTTCAGAATCTTAACCCTTACTTCCCTTTATGCATTAGCTCTGCAAGGATTCATCTTCTGCATGGTTAAGTTTGTAGATATGGAACAGATACATGACCGCCTCTGTGGTCCAGTGGTTAGAGTTCCTGGCTACAGATGCAGAGGTCCAGGTTCGATTCCCAGTGCTACCATATTTTGTGTATTTTGGTCTGGAATGGGGTTCACTCAGCCTCGTGAGGATAATTGAGGAGCTATATCAAGGAAATAGTAGCTCCGGCCTAGAAAACCAAGATTAACGGCCGTGGGAATCAGTTGCGCTGACCACGTGACACCCTCTATCCGCAAAAGTTGGCACTAACTTCGCCGACAAACGGCGGTCGCTTGGTCGGTATAGTTCACTCATGGACTACAGGTCACGGAGTTTGTATGGAACAGATACATCACTTGAACAGGAAATCAGCCTCATCTTGATGCAAGAGATGAGCAAGTTATCTTCCTGGCATCTAATCTTGTGCGTTTAAGACGCCTGATTATTATAACTTTGTGGACTAATTTGAGTATATTAACCTTGCATCTGCTTAAAGTCTGTGTACAGTTGTAGATATCCCCTGTTACCACATTAACAACAACTTACATTTATATTATGTTTGATTTTCATAATCTCCTTTTAGTTGCAGCCATCATCACACACACACAAAATAATTTCTGATTTCTTAAAATCTTGCTTGAAACTAGTTAGGCTGATTAAAATGTGTTTAAATGAAACCTGTAGTAAAATCTGTATATGTAAAAATTTTTGTGATAAGTTTGCTATACAAAATAAACTGAAACAAGGAGATGCTTTATCGCTGTTGCTTTTCAACTTTGCTCGAGAATATGCCATTAAGAAGGTCAAGGAAAACCAGATGGGACTGAGATTCTATGCTGATGATTTTAATCTACAGAGTGATAATATATATACCATTAAGAAAAAAAAAACAAACTTTAATTGATGCTAGTAAGGAGGTTGTTCTAGAAGTAAACACAGAGAAAAGTATATGTTGCTGTCTAGCCAGTAGAATGCAGGTAAAAATCATGACATGAAGATAGCTAACAGATCCGTTGAGAATGGTTCACAGTTCAGATATCTGTGAACGACAGAAACAAATCAAAATTTAATTCAGGAGGAAATTAAGAGGAGATTAAACTCGGGTAATTTTTGCTACCATTCAGTCCAGAACCTTTTCTCTTCTCATCTGCTCTCTAAAAACAGGGATTGTAATATACAAAGCTATAATTTTGCCCTGTGGTTCTGTATGGGTGTGAAACTTGGTCTTTCACATTAAGGGAGTAACACTGACTGGGGGTGTTTGAGAGCAGGGTGTTGAGGAGAATATTTGGACTGAAGAGAGATGAAGTGACAGGAGGTTGGAGAAAACTGCATAATGAGGAGCTTCATAACTTGTACTGCTCTCCAGCTATAATTAGAATGATCATGGCAAGGAGGATGAGGTGGGCAAGTCATGTAGCACGAATGTGGGAGATGATGAATGCATATAGGATTTTGGTGGGAAAGCCAGAAGGAAGGAGGACTAAGATTTAGGTGGGTGAATAGTATTAAAATGGACCTTGGAGAAGTATAACGGGGTTGTATGGGCTGGATTCTGCTGGTTGAGGATAGGGACCAGTGGAGGGCTCTTGTGAATACACTAATGAACCTTTTTGGTTCTATAAAATGTTGGGAAATTCTTGGCACAACTGGCAGCTTCTGAAGGAGGGCTCATCTGCATGAAGTTAGTATATGATGTGAGTAAATGAACAGGGAATTTGCATGTGTGAGTAGAAGGTACATGGAAGTGGTTTGCGAGGCATTTCATCTAATGCTGATGACTCTGAGATAGTAATTTCATTTATATATCCATTAATGTACTGATTCTCAGATCTTTTGCATCTTGCATGCTAACAAAGCTTTTCGTTTCCCAGAAGTGAGATTTTACATTTCAGTATGATATGAATGAAAGATATGGAAGAAATTGTTCTATATCTAATGCTCTAGACTTTTATTTGGGAATTCGTGCTTTGAATGACTGCCGGGTCACCAGCTATTCGAATGAGGTTTTTCGTGGGTTTCTTTAGTCTTCAGGAAGATGCTGGGGTGGTGTCCAGTTTAGGCAATATCCAGTTCCTTCTCAATTCATTGGTCATTCCACCAAGTGACACTGTATCCTCTCCATGCTGAAGACATCATTAAACAAAAATAAAGTTCGTGAGATTGTAAGGATTGAAGAAAGCAGTCTTCTGGGGTTTGGCACAGTGTATATGTGGTGTTAATCGACGTTTCGGAGAAACGTATCGCCTCCATCTTGAGGGTAGAAGGAAAAATATAAGAAATCCGCAAGCGAAGAGACCGTTAGAACCGGTAAAAGCAGACTGCTTTTACCTGTTCTCACGGTCTCTTCGCTTGCGGATTTCTTATATTTTTCCTTCTACCCTGAAGATGGAGGCGATACGTTTCTCCGAAACGTCGGTTAACACCACATACACTGTGCCAAATCCCAGAAAACTGCTTTCTTCATAGTCACCACCGTGAAAGCCTCAAATCTTACATTGTAAGGATTGTTACAGTTTTGTACATCTTTTATTTCCATAACTGTGTGTAGATATGCTTGTGCATACAGTTCAGGAAAATTTTGTGTATCTGGATTAATTATTATTTTCCCTACTAACTTGTCCCACCAGTTGAGAAACACTGCATGAATAAATTTGAGCAGGAGGTATACTAAAATTTGAAATCAATGATTTGATTGTTTATTTCGAAAGTGTGAAGTAATGCATTGATTGATAGTTCTGACATCCGAGGTATAATGACGTGTAGTCTGTTGAAAGTCAGATGATGATTTGGAGGAATCTTCAGGAGCAAATAAAGAACCGAACAGATCTTTGTAGCTGCTTCATGCATGGCTTATTTGTAAACCTTGAAGATGAAGGTGACATGTTCCTCAAAAAAGTTGACTTCCGAGGTACTGCACGGCACTTCATAACCACCATTGTGAGAACCTCAAATCCTACACAATTCATTTGTATTATGTTAGCAGGAAGAAGAAGGAAATGTTTGAATATTTCTTGTAGTATGCTGAAGATGGGTACTCAGCGTTGTGAAATAGTCATTATCTGTCAGATTGCATATTATAATAGAATACTAATATGTGTGGTGGTGGATAAACAGTGCATAACTTCTGTTTTCTTTGATTAATTTGCTAAATGGATGTGTGAATTTATATAGAATATATCAGAAAGAAGGAATGCTTCATCATGCAGGGATCTGTCAGTGTACAGATTTATAAACCCGCTTCCAACAGTTTGTTGAGCTTGCGTTGATGGGTGTGTATCCATCCTCATTTATTTTTCATTTTGCATCATTAACAGATCCTGTCCTGAGACAGTGTATTATTTGTCAGAAATGCATTTGTTGTTGTTTGTTAATATAGGAAACCCAAAACTCCCTTCAAGATAATGCTGGTGATTGCATCTGGCCATACTTTCTTATCCTCATAGTCTATGTTAATGTAGGGGCCTTGAACATAATTTCACATTTGCCTATGCAACAAGTCCGTGTTGACAGGTGCATGTATGAATTTTAAGCCCGGTTTAATAATATAATAAAGACCATCATATATAGGTGCCTGCAAAACTGACTGCACTATTTTGCAGTGCTCCTGGACATGTGTTTCTTCTGCTGCAGCAAATGGCGTGACAGAACTGTGATGTTAATTTCTGTGTCCAGCTTTCTCCTAGCCCTTCATTAATTATATATACACTGTATATGTGTGTGCGTGTTTTCAGTCTAAATCTCCAAAGTTATAAGATGCAAATCAAGTCCCTTGATGAAATATCAGCAAATGGTTTGGTATTTGAATTCATTTCTAATGTGTAGCTCACTTCATAATATTTCTTCAGGCTGTTGTCATAATGAGATACACTCAAGGGAGAATGTTAGTAAGTAGCTGGGAGTGGGTTAGTTTTCCCGGTCACTCTCACAGTAGCAGAAGTGAACTGACAATGTTTCTGTCTGGCAGGTCTTGCAGCGCCTGCCGCTGCTTTCACAAGTGCCCCCTACGTTATCAATGCACAAGAACCGTACGTCGGTGCACTCATTACAGGTGAGCAATCTCAGTGATTAGTTGGGTTGCTGTCAGAACTGGAGCCGATGAAGTTTCCTGTCATGCAAATTAAATTCTTATCATTGTGGTACACACATTTTCTAAACTATATTGCAATAATTTGAAACAGTGTCTCAGCAAGAAATATTGTTGACATATTTTCACTTCTGTTGTTTATATGGTAAGCAGAATAGAAACTAGAATAAACTAACATAAGACTATCTATATACATACATATGTATATATAAATATGTGTAGTGTAATACTGCTAACATCCCTGCAAATTAATGTGGAAACTGCATGTTCTAGTGACTAGACTTCATATTATGCACCATTCATTGAGCGTCATTTGGTTTGATTGCTTCCATGTAACATACATGTAATTTTAGCAGATTTTGAACTGTATATGAATTCAATTCTTAGCTATATTTGTCATAAAATAACCTGTAAGATGTTTTTGGTAATAATGGTCCCTGTGATGTACTGAGAAGGTTAGAAACTGCCTGCTGAACAGGACAGTTCGGTAAATGGGCAACTCTGCTGATATTTGTTCTCATAATAAAAAGTAGTAAGAAACCCATTTCCTTTGTATACTCTTCTAAATACTTACGGAATTGTTTGGTGTGGTTTCCACCAGTTTCATTGCCATGCAACAAAAGTCCTGATATGATAGAGGAAGAATAAGACCAGACAGATGTGTTTGCCATTAAATCCTTTAGTTATGGTGCCTTTTGTTTTGAAGTAAATGAATGAAATGTGGAGCCTAATGTGTTACTGTCATTCAGTGTGAGGGTTGTGGCTCTCTATCTATATATATAGTGGCATTCTCACACTATAGCGGCTTTAATGAACCTAATCTCATGGCAGCTGTATGTTCTGAAAGTGCCACCAGAAGGATCAAGATGCAAGTTTGTGACGTGAATGAAATAAAGGCAGGAAAAGGGTGAAGGAAAAAGAAAGGGGGCGAAGAATGAAAATACAAGAATGTATGATTACCTGTTGGTCCGTGTTCGATTCCCGGCACTACCAGATTTTCTGAGAATTACTGGGTCTGGAACAGGGTCCACTCAGCCTCGTGAGGATAATTGAGGAGCTACTTGAATGGAAAAGTAGCGGCTCCAGTTTAGAAAACCGAGATTAACAGCCATAGGGATTCGTTGCGATGACCACGTGACACTCTCTAGCCGCAAAAGTTGGCACTAACTTCGCCAACAAGTGGCAGTCGCACAGTTGGTATAGTTCGCTTGCGGGCTGCAGGCCACGGAGTATGTTTAACATATGTAGGAATATAATAAAGTTTAATAGCCATGTAAACACAGTGTGTCCCATCCCACTCAGGGGTTGCCACATAGTGATGAGCTGCCTGAACAGGAAGCTCTCAGGCTAATCCCGCTATACGTCTTTTATATATCAATGAGCCTAGCTTGTTTTGGCCCTAAGATACTGTCAAGATGAATATTATTAATTCTGTTATACTCGTATGATTAAAAAATACAGTGGTATGAGTTCAGATGTGAAAATTGTGTAGTTGGGCCTATTGTTGTGCACATTTGGTAATTGGAACTCTTCGATGCAGCGTTCTCTTAAGTGGTAATTATTTTTATTCAAAATGAAACCATCTCAGAACAATTTCTTCATGCCTTTGTTTTTATATATTCCCTGTCAAGAAGAATAAGGACCTTACTGACATGATTCCCCCTGAAATTTTAACCAGCAAAATAATATGGAAGTTTGAAACAGAGTAAGTGGCAGTGCAGTATATGACTACAGCCTGAATGATAAGACTATTTTCTGTCAGGAGCAGGAATTGTTGTAGTCTCTGCCTTGGGAGTGCTCTCCCATAGGTAAGACACCTTATCAATACCAAGGTCTGGTATGGCCTTCACCTCCATGCCCGCAGTACACTCTCATGGCTAGTAATGGGCCAGATGAGGTGCTTGGTTTTGTAATATAAAGAGAATCCTGTTATGTTAACATTAGATAGATGCTATGAATTGCAGTAATAATTAATTTATTGGTAGTGTAGTATAGTGGGGGTACGCGGTAGCATGGTTGAGGGGCTATGCTAAAAGCCAGAAGGTCATGGGTTCAAGTCCTGATGAGGTCATTGGATTCTTCCAGTTGACCTAATCCTTGCACTGGGGTTAACTCAGCCTCTAACAGAAATGAATACCAAGAATAAATTAAATAATTTTCCTGGGGAGTAAAGCGCGGCCGGCGCGTAAGGCTGGTAGCCTTACCGCCATCTTTGAGCCGATTCTCTAGATAATGTGGGACCCCCAACGTCTCACAACCCTATGGGCCTTCACAGCCTGGTACAGAGATAGCTTTACTTATGTAGTGTAATATACTCGTAGTAGCAGTGTTTGTTCTCTGTGTCAGATTTAAGATTGATCTGTTAGAAGCAGGATACAGTGGCATGCATACTTGAAAATTATGTTTCTGAATTAATGGTAGCTGTGTTTGTTTCATATAATAGCATTGCCTTGATCTGGGCCCCAAGTTGCATCCCCTGTAGTGAGGTATTTGGAAACTGGTTATTTTGAAATCTTGTTTATTTACCAGTATAGTTCAGCCATGATGGATTAACGGTATTGCTTGATAGTCTCCATTTGTATGTCTGGAAAGTTTCCAGTATACTTCGCTAAAAACAAAAATTGCACCAGGAATAATTGTTAACGTTAGATGTATGAGTTATATTCACACACTAGGGAAGTAATTGTAGGTTGCATTAGGTTGTGTGGGAAATAGGTTGTTGGATTTAAAAGTGTTATTCATCTTGTGCTTCATCATGCATCACAGGTCCGACAGTTGTGCCCCAGTATTATGGTGTGGCAGCCCCATGGGGGGTGTACCCTGCCAACATTATCCAGCAGGGGGCAGCTGCAGCAGCTGCCGCTCAACAAAGACGCCCACTCACCCCTTCCTCTGCTTCCGAAATTAGCAACAGTTCCAGTAACCTCACACAGGTATGTATTTGTTGGACATTTAGATTCAAGGAACTGATTGTGACATGACTGACCAGAAGGAACTGCTGAACAGTGCACATCATGAAACTGTAAGGTAGTGCATGTATCAGGCAGCACATTTTTACCAAAATTAAGCAGAACTCACACCAACAGTATACAGGGTGTTTCACGACTTTAGGGCATAACTGCAGAAGGTGATTTCCTAGGTCTTTGTGGTCAAAAAAGTTCATATAAACATGTTTCCACTTTTGAGATGGTTACAGAATTATGACCGTTTTAAACTCAGAATAGAAGGTAACAATTACTGACAATAAACGGAACAAAATTATAAACCAGCATAATACATGATACATTTGAAGTATGAATGTAAGTTAACTTCGTGAAATTACCTTTAATTTGAATTTATTGGTTCTTAAAGCTGATTTTCGAAAATGCCACCGCCGGCCGCAACACAGGCTGCCGCTTGGTTGTGAACTGTGCCGGACATACCAACCCTCCACGCCTTAGGTACCTCTAAAGTGTCGAGATAACAAGAACCCTCTGTCTGTAGCTGGCTAAAAATAGCGACCCGCCCGCTGACAGATGCGGTTAACATGAGGGCGTGTATGGGAATGAAAAAACGGTCATAACTCTGTAACCGTCCAAAATCGGACACATGTTTGTATGAACTTTTTTGATCACAAAGACCTAGGAAATCATCTCCTGCAGTTATGCCCTAAAGTCGTGAAACACCCTGTATATCGATACGAAGAATCTATCTTTTGGAATGTAACACTGTGTATCCCACTGAAAGTTAATCCATGTTTTGGTGAATGTGTCACCTTCAAGTAAGCCAGCATGATGCTGGAAGAAAGCAATGCACATGGCATGCAGGAATGTGGGATTGTATAGAAGCAGAAGTGATCTTGGAAGCAGTTCGCATTGTCCCTGTCTGGGAGCCAGGGTGAGCAAATAGAAGACAGGAGGAAAGTGACTAGGTTTGCCCCTTGGAGGAGCTTGGGGGACTGCAGGAGCACAGGAGAGAAGTTGTCTTGGGATAAGAAGAACTTATCTCCCATAAAGCCTTGGTCTTTACAACTGCAATGTTTTTCAGTAATGCAGTCACCATGACTGGTCACAGACTGCTGTATGTGCAAATAATTGAGTGGAGTATTAACATCTTTGCAAGCAAATCAAAATCAAGAATTGATGAGGATACTGTTGTAACCCTTATCTAATATTGTGGCACTGGAGTGAACATATATTCACATTACTTTTTAAAGAAAGGATGTGGAAAGATGCAGTTGTATCCTTGAAAGGATTATCCCAATTTTGGCCAGGAGGACAGTGGAAACCCACAGAAACCCATAGTATGACTGACTTCCAGCTGTAATTCAAACAGTATCCCTGAAATGTAGGGCCGCACCACAGCTCGAGCGGTTAGTTGCTGGCTTCCCACCGCGGTGACCCGGGTTTGATCCTGGGTCTGGTCAAGTGGCATTGGGGTAGATTTTCTCCAAGTACTTCGGTTCCCCTGCCAATCTTCATTCCACCAATTGCTCCACAATCACCCTCACCTATCATCTGGGGCTGGTACAATAGGCCAGAAGTGGCCGCAGTACAAGGAACTTAGTCCCACCCCACTAGCAGTAAGAAATAATAATAATCCTTGAAATGTGCTTTGCTTGTCGACATTCACTACTTACTCTTGTTGCTGTCATGACATCAATTAACATATTTCCCAACATACATGTGTTCCCAATTACTGGTAGTGATGAATTCTCCATGTTGCCTAACATAACATTTAATGTGTGTGTATGCATGTGTCTTGTGCAGGTACAAGGTCAATATCAGGTAATACCTGCATACTATGATCAGACTGGGTCGATAATGATGGGCAATGTTCGGGGAATCGGAAATGGGACTCCCATGAGGCTGGTGTCACCTGCACCCGTAATAGTCAATGCTACTGGAACACCAGGCAGCAACATGAGACTGCTCGGAAATCAGCCGCAGCAAATAGCCACACCTCCGGCATCAATTTACAACAGCAACCAGCAGCCCTCGCTCTATACCTCTACTGCGTCCAATGGGACCACAATCAGTGGTAAGTCAGTTTGCTTCACAGCATGTGTTTTTATTATGTTACAAATGTCATTGTGATATGGCTTGGGCAGCAATATGGTGGTGCAGTATTCTGTCGTCCCATTATTAACCTTCATGGCGAATTACTGCAAGGGAGTATGTGGACAGGTTGGGTAATCGGGTGCATCTCACAATCCAGACATTATTTCCAAGCATTGATGCAGTTTACTAAGACAACAAAGCCACCATTCACACAGCTAGAACTGCTCACTCATAGTTTGAAGAGCATGGAGGTGAACTTCAGCATCTTCCCTGGCCAACATAATCACCAGATTTGAACATCATTAAATTTTGGAGACTAGAGTGAGGAACAGATTCCTGCCTACAGCATTCTTAAAGCAACTTGAGTGTATTCTTCTGATATAAAATTTCACTAAACTGTTCAAAACTTCATTCCAAAGGCCTGTCCACATTACTCGTGCTCATGCGTCAGAAGCTTACTGCTGCCGGAAAATCAGGATCTGGAGCTGATATCTGTTGTGAAGAAATGCGAAGAGTTTGTATGCAAACCAGTTTTGGCGTCCACTTCGTCAGCTCCAGATCCTGATTTTCTGGCAGCAGTAAGCTTCTGACACATGAGCGTGAGTAATGTGGACGGGCCTCAAGAAGGGTTGTGACTATATTGAAGGCAGCAGGTGGTCTAACACCATGTTAAATAAAGAAATGTGTACAGTGTCTGTAGTGTTTCCATTATTTTGTCTAACCCCAGTATGTAGACAGAAGACATAACTGTAATGTTTGTTGGAATCCGGTGGTCTTTGTATTCCAGGAGTTATGTCAGTGGTAGGGATGAAACCTTTGGTCTGTGAGCAGAAAAGTCTGCTAAAAGATCTGACTGGAGATGATATTTAGAATCCTCTTAATGAGAGACCAGTTCTTATCACAAAATAAAAGAAGCCCCTCCCCCCCACGTTTTTGGCATATTGGTTTTTTATTTTAATCACAGATAGCTTATAAAACTTTTGTTTAAGATAATGTGTTCCTGTAGCCAATTCCATTTACCTGATTGCAGGTCAGACTCATTATCTAGGATATTAGATTTTACACAGAGCTAATTGAATTTGTAATTAATGGATGCAAATTTTGATAAAGTGCTTCCGTATAATGTGTCTGTGGAATTGCCTGTGACATGTGTGATGCAGCTATCCCTGTATCATGCGTACTTTGTGCCATATGTGTACATAGATAATATATACACTCATAAATATGCTTTAACTGTATTTTTTTTAGAAAAAATTTTCCAATCTGTAAATATGTGATGGCTGCAAGTTTCTTGTAGATATTAATTTGTTTTTGTATATATAAGTCTAGTTAGTGTGGAGCAGTGGTGATATAAAAGTTACTTTAGACGATGTTAGAATTCAAGTTGTTACCATATGCTTCCAGGATACTACACAACACTGTCTAGTTTTCTTTCAAGTGATTAAATTATCAAATGAGACATTACATATCTCTGAAATGGAAACCTACTTTGACTTGGAAGGCAAATTGTTAAAATGATTTAATCATTGTGAATAGTGTTTTCACATGCCTTTGAAATTATTGGAATGTTAAGAACACATAAAATATGCACATAGAGTAACAATTCTGACATCTCTACCCTATCCTGTTTAATTGTCTTGAGTACCAAAATACAGCTCTCATTTTAAACATTTTTACTTGATAAATATTCGCTGAATGTCGCAATGTGTATAGAAAAGTGTGTGAGTCCTCTTGTGAAGTGTCTGAGGTTGTTGCCCACTCATAACAAACATTGGACTAGGTCACCAGATTTTAATAAACCTCCTCAGTATCAAATTTGTTAGAAACCTGTTGCAGTTCTCAGGCTATTGTATGAGGAGAGACATGGCAAAGTTATGGGCACATTGTTTGAAACTTTTATCTAGCAAATGCACTGAAAATGGAATTCAGAATATAAAGATAAACTTTGTGAAATGCCTTATATATGTTCTAGAAGAAACTAAAATGGGCAAAATCTTTTGCACCTTAAGTCAGTATGATATATTACGAAGCTTTGTCATATTTCATTAAATTAATTCAGAGTAATAAATTAATTAGTGAACACAATGACAACCTTCACCTGAAGCCATAGCAGACCATGGTACTCATTTTATTCATGTAAAGTAGTTTTGAATAATGACTGATTTATGTCGAGAATATAACTGTGATCTCGTTGGATGTCAAAGCTGAACTGTAATTAATAATTCCATTTGTGTGCAGCATATAACTAACTACAGGAGCTTGCATATTTGGTGTGGTGTAGCATTCTGTCATCATTGGCTTTGTAGCACTTAGGATAGTCAGTATTTTGCATATTATAAATATTGTACTGTACAAGACTAGGCATGTGGCAGTGCAGAAAGTGAATGTAGAATGAAGCTGCATTGCAAAGGGGTCATAGTATAAGTTCACATGAGCTGCAGATGGAAGCAGTACATCACATGCTGCATAATCACCCACCCAGGAACTGAATTAACATAGTGTTCTAACCTCCACTACACTGGGGGAACTGTTAACAAGGGCATAAAATTGTGGTGTGTGGCATGTCAGTTAATCCACCGTATTACATTTGAAGGGTTATTAACATCCATTGACACACACAGTTTCTGTAGAAATTATGTGTGAAATTGTTGTTCCAGGAATGAAATCTTGTTGTAACATGTGCCTCATTACACCCCTGAGATTCTGAGGACATAATGACGATTGTTCATAATAGCATTAAGGCACTTTCTGTAGGTGATGGCTTCCAATCCCTTCCTGTTCCCTGATCTTCGTAATGGAACTATGTTAAGTTCATACCCTCGTCCCAATTTTGCACCAGAAGGTTAAGTAGTGAATTTCAAAACTTGTTGTATAAGAGAAAGAAAGTTAAAAGAATTTCTTTATTTCTCATACCATACTTGTGCGTCCATTCAGCCGTGCTTCATGTGTTTCATTTTGAATCCCACTGTAACATAGATTACATTTTGTGTAATCAGTATGATGAAACGCTTAATTGACAAACTCATCCATTTACAGTGGAAAGCCCATTTAAGGTTTGCTCTGGGGATGGGATATGTGTACCATAAATCAGGAACTTTCTTAAGTGGAGGTTATGTGGTTTGAAGAGGAAATTGTACTTTAGTGTCCACATCATATATCTCCTTTAGTCTAACAAAAGAATGAAGAAACGTATGTTACAGAAGTCATCAAAAAATAATTCAATATGAAATGCATTTGTTGCTTCATGCACTTTCTTTTCTTTGCCTGTGCCCCACACTTAAATCCGGCATCTCTGATTTTCTCTTTTGAAAATATGATTTTGCTTAATATAGATGGGCAGGAATTCAAGGTAATTTGCTGTGGCTTCTACTTTGCTGATCACATATAGTTTGTCACTTATTGTCAGCAACTCCCTCTTGTTCAGCATCACTAATTCAATTTTTAAAAATCATCGAATCGTGAGAACAAGTTATGCACATGCATAAATACACATAAATTTGTTATATGTATCCTTTACACAATTAAATGTAAATTATAACGATTTTAATCGCGGATTTGTATACATGTACTGCAGACAATACGTGGTGTGGCTTCTTTTTGCTAATTGCTCGAGGTCAACAAGCACCCACACATATTGTTCACTAGTTGACCAGCTTATGACTTGAGAGCTGACCTTGAACAAATAGCATGTGTAAATCAGAGCTGAGCAAGTCATGGCCTTTGATGTAAACACTAAGTCAGGGTACAAGCTTCATGTATGGGCTGAATTTTTGTCCACTAAATGAGAACAAAACACTAAACTGGAGTAATCTGTGCATTGCATATGTGAGGCTTTTGCCAGCACTCCAGAAAATGAACACTAAATGTGGGGAAACCTTAAATTGGGATTCCACTGTAATAAGATGTGCTATCTAATATTATATTTAAGCATCCTGTTGCACTCTACACGATAAATGATACAAACTCCGTCCCAGGTGCAAACAATATTGTCGCGTATCGGGCGTATATCGCGACAAATAACTTCTCGATGTATTTGATGTAGCGAATTTTATTTCACATTCGCACTCACAATCACCCAAATTACAGATTTACGCTTACAGCTATCTGCAGTATCACAATTAGTACACTCCCAATGCCAGAATACAACTGGCTGGCTGACTCTACGTCTCGACTCGGCGACTGTTACAGTACAACTGACTGTGAATAGCCTTCGCTGCTCCCCATGTAGCCTCGATCGGACAATACAGAAAACGGCCTTGTTGCCTGGCGCTGTGTTGCTAGCAACGCTAGCGGTAGTAACCGTTGTTACTACGGTAACAATCCTGTTGCGTCACCGTTACGTTACCGTGCGGAGGGGGGGGAGGGGAGCGCTGACTCACCCGCCGCGTCACTGCTGCTGGTGGGGGGGGGNTATGTCTTTGATCTTGCTCTCTTCTACACTACATGTTTCGGCCTCTAACGGCCATCATCAGGTGTATACTCTTACGTTGCTGCCACGCTGAACCCAGTCTAAAATTTAACATTTAAAAAACACATTGTTATTTTCTTCAGCGTGGCAGCAACGTAAGAGTATGCACCTGATGATGGCCGTTAGAGGCCGAAACATGTAGTGTAGAAGAGAGCAAGATCAAAGACATATAATATATATTGTTTGCACTTGGGACGGAGTTTGTATCATTTATGTGCTATCTAGCCTGTATGAGGGTACTCGGTAGCGTAGTTGGTTGAGGCTACAGGCCGGAAGGTCGCAGGTTCAATTCACAATGAGGTCATTGGATTTTTCAGTTGGCCTGATCTTTCCAGCCATACTATTGTCCCCAGGTCAAGTCAGCGTCTAACAGACATGAGTGCCAGGAATCGTCAGGTGGCTAAAGGGTGGCCAGCATAGAGGCTGACCTCACTGCCATGTGTAAGCTGAATATCTAGAAGATGTGGGAGCCTCGTAGTCTCACCACTCTGTGGGCTGTTAGAGGGATAGCTTTACGTTTT